ACAAACACACAACCACAAACACACAACCACAAACACACAACCACAAAAAAACAACCACAAACACAACAACACACACACAACCACAAACACACAACCACAAACACACAACCACAAACACACAACCACAAACACACAACCACAAACACACAACCAGAAACACACAACCAGAAACACACAACTCAACCACAAACACACAACCACAAACACACAACCACAAACACACAACCGCAAACACATCCACAAACACACAATCACAAAGACACAACCACAACTACAAACACAATCGCAACCACTACCAGTACCACGAACACAATCACACACACACACAGCCACAAACACAACCACAAACACAATCACAAACACACAGCCACAAACACAACCGCAAACACATCCACAAACACACAATCACAAACACACAGCCACAAACACACAATCACAAACACAACCACAACCACAACCACAACACAGCACACAACCACAACCACAGCACACAACCCGAGGACCCACAAGCAAAATCGAGAACTACAATACTCACGACCATGGCAACATGCTCGTCATGATGGCATCAAGACAAATGATTGAAATGTCATGGTGGGGATCACTCGAAGAAAAGTAATTTGCTTTCAATTTTTCTCTTGGGAATGCGGGGCCGTATGCTTTGTGAGGCGCAGATAATGGTGCCTTTTCTCGTGCGTGTGGCACATGCGCTGCTCCGTGCTCACTCAAAGCTTGCATCGGGGCCTGCAGCTTGTGTGGCGGAGGCATTGCAGCGCAGACTCCTGTGTGGTGCTGCCAGAAGAGCTGCGGCTTTTTGGCATGCCTTGAATGTGAACTGCATTTGTCCATGATGGGTGACAACATCGAGCGCCTGCTGGCCGCCTGTAACGCTTTTGGAGACACACAGTCGGCCTCCGCCAGGCTGTCACAGCGCAGAGTCAAGACTTAAGTCTATTAAGAACAGTGCTTTGAAAGATGGTGCTTTGAAGTGCTTAGGCGCCATTTGTGGCAGTTTTATGCAGTTTTCCGTTTGTAGAGCATAACATACGCCCATTGTGCAGGGATGCTGCGACAATATTGGAGGCCCATGAGATGCTGGAATCTGCCCGAAGCATAAAGGATGTGCAGAAGCTGCAGTCTGTGTTGGCAACGGTTGAAGGGCTGGATGTATTGATTGCATCCTGGCAAGTACTTAGGACGTGACAAATTAGGAGGTCCCCGAAGCACATAGTTGGAGATAAGCTGCAAGTGTGACAGGTCAAAAGGAAAGCGAATGAGCTAAAGCTCGACCTTGAAGAATGGGAGGGGGTGCATTTGCGCCTGACAGCGGCCATGGAAGGCAAGACATTGGCCAAGCTCAGTTGTGGAACAGACATCCCACAAACCCAAAACACGAGTTGCAATCTTGAGCTTCCTGGCGCTTTCCTGCCTTGACCTGTCGAGGTGGGAGCCTGGCTTTGCTCCAAAACATTTTGCAGGAAGCACAGGCGCTCAAACTGCAGTTGCCGGAGGCACTTCACAATGCGGAGGGGCGTTGCGTTCAACTTGAAGCCATACAAAGGTGGGGACGCAATTGTGATCGGCTATTTGTGTGTGTGTGTGCGCGTTCCATTGCAATTCGTCACTGGCAGGTTGCGGGAGGCAGTTGATTTTAACGAAGTGGTCACTTTACAATCTGCCATTGCATTTGCTCAAAATGCGCAACTTTGACCTGCCTTATGATGAGTTATGGGCAGCCATTGGCCCTCCTGCAACACTTCAGAAACGTGCACTCGATGTGGAAAGGTCTAGTTGCCATGAGCTGGGATGGGGCGTTGCAGATTTTCAGTTCTGAGGCAGATGAACTCAGAGCTAAAGGAAGCTCTTGATAGAGCAGAAGTCTTGCACGAGAAGCTGAGCGTTTTTCAACGTCTCGAAGCTGCTTTGCTGGCCTGGGCGCCGTGTTTGCAAGAAACCCATGGGTCATGAGGAGGGGGTGGACGCACTGTGTATGTTGTGCGGGATTGCGATGGGGCTTCTCTAGCGCAGACCCACAACACGATGAAGGAAACCAATCTGTGAGAGACATGCTGGGAGACCTTCAGAATCCTGCGTCCCAACGTGCTCAGCCGTTTGAAAGGAGTAAGAACCCAGTCTAGGTACAGTATGTGTCAGAAGTGGCATGTTTGATCATGTTTGCTTTGGCTGAGGAGGCTGATGCCTTGAGACAGGCGTTGGCAGATGCTGGCAGGATCGGGGCGGTGGATGGATCATTGATGCTGGCACAGGTCGGCCCGGCCCTAATGGCATGACATTCAACAACCTTTTCCTGCTCTGATCGCCGAGCCTGTTTGTCATGACATGACTAGCTTTGCTTTCATTTTGTTCTATGGGCCCTTGTGGCATTGCAACTCCTTTCAGGCTGAGCTCGAAAAAATGGAGGTTCGATGCAGCTCAAACCATCGTTTGCGAAGACCTCTGGCAAGCAGCGGGATGGCCTCTAAACATTCTGATTGACATTGGCTTCAGTTATGTTTGTGGACAATATATTATATATAATATATATATTTCATGTATATATACAATATATAAAACAATACTGTATTTGATTCTGACCCGACTCCGACTGGTGCTCGTTTGCACTACGCCAAGGAGCAGCCGAGTTTCGTGATTATTTTTGCCATGGCTGCTATGCACAGTCTGGTGTCAAGGCCCCTCACAGCATCCGAGCAGCATGAGCGCAACAGTTATAGTCGTCGGCCACGGGGGAGCACAATGTGACTAATATGTGACAATCATAGCATATCATAGCATTATGTGATACCATGTAGCATCTTTTGCAGGAGTTGTCTTGGTACCGCTGCGACCTCTGTGACTTTGAGCTTTGCCATCATTGCTTATCATGGCGTGCGCGAAGGACGAGTGCTCCGGGCCTCGAGCAGCCGAGCGAGGCGGACCCTGCGACCACGGCGAAGCCGGCGACCCACGACGGTCGCGGTGGCATTCACTCGGACAGGGCTTTGCCGACGAAACCTTTGCAGCCGGATGACGAGGAAAGCCAGCGAGAGTGGTTCAATCGTTGGGCCAAAAGCTTCAATGCGGGCAGCGCCCACTGGGAGCTTTTCAAGGGTGGGTCTTGGATTCCATTTGGGACAGGATTGTCAGACTTGCTCACCAATGCCTGGCAAGCTGGACATGAAAATGTGACCTACACAGCCAGCAATGAACAAAAGCATCTCTTTCATTTTGGATCAATGGAGCAGGTCAATCTTAGCACCGCAAAAAGAAGACCGATGCGCCGCGTGCTGTGGGAAATCGAGCTTGACAAGGGCTGGTTCCTAGTCGAGGATGATTTGGCCCTCAGGCTGCGCTTGCACCAAATTCGTGGCGTCTCTTCATTTCAGCACTTTGCGAGGGACATGGAATACACAATTGATATAGAGAAAATGGAGCAAGTGAACGAGCACCTTGGCACCTGCAGAAAGCTTCGAAAGATTGCAGCCGAAGAGGCAGCTCCAAAAATGAGTCGGCAGAATTTGCGAATGGCCTTGGAAGATGATTTCAGCCGTGTTGCGTGTGCAGTCCGTCAATGGGTGGTCCTGCGATGGCCTTGGCAAGAGCTCGGTGACTGCAGCATAGATGCCGAGGGTTTCATCCGCACTGGTTTGGCGGACGAAATATCCAGAGGCCTTCATTCTTGGCAGCATGAAACTCCCCAACTAGGCGGCCTTCTCCAAAATATCCTTTGGTTTGACCATGTGGATTCAAGGAGGGCAGACTTCATCAGCCAAAATGAGGCAGGCACCCTGATGTTCCGCTAGTTAGCGCTAGTTTCTGGTCTTGACTGCGGTGGTGGTTAGTTCAGATTCTTTGGTGTGCTACTTGCTTTGCCAATCTTTGAGTATCACTCTGTGATTTCCCATTCTCAAGCCAGGTCGTCAATGCAATTGTTCAGGACCCACGGTGGCGTTGGGGTCTTGCAGGCAGGCCCGACCAGCATACGAAACCTTTGGCCGTTGCATTCATCCTTCCTGGTCCAGTCCAGTCCATGATGTTCACATCAACATGCCTTGGCACTGGCCAACCTGCATCGTCACGTGCAGCTTGCGTTGCAGTTGGCAGGTGCAGAGGATGCTGTGAGTGCCCTCTGGTCTGAGTTAATCATAAGGACGGAGACTCACATGAGCAAGCGGGAAGTCTTGGTCCCGGGCTGATGCCTCAGTGATGAGCAGGACATGGTATGACTGACTATGAACCATGGGCTGTGCAGATGCCCAATGACAGGCTTAGAGTTGATTTAACGATTTGTTAGCTGAGGCGGCTTGGCAGACGAGCTTTTGCAAATTCTGAATTCTGACCTGGATTCTGTGGATGACTGGATCATGGAGAAGAAGTTGCCGTTGTGGGAAGGACACGACTGTGCCTTGTGCTTCTGCCCCATTGGGAAGAGTGACATGGGCCGTCGAATGCGTTGTGGTTGCTGGCTGCACTTTGAGTGTCTGGGTCATGGTCTGGCTGTGAAGATCTCAGAAAAAGCTGTAGATGACGCGCAGATGAGCATGTGCCCAGCCTGTGGGCAAGACCTGGGCAGAGTTATTCCTGCGGGTGTTGTTCGCAGAGCCGTTGGAGAGGAGAGATTTGGCAGGCGAGCTTTGCATTAGCCACATGCCATTGCATATTATTGTGAATATTCTTACGGGTTGCCTTGAGCAGTGCCAGGTACTTGGACGTCCGTGTGGAAGTTCAGTGGCAGAAAGAAGCGCTCGACAGTGGGAGACTTGTGGCCACTTGCCCCAGCTGCTCTTTCCTGGTGCTGTGCAACGAAAGGGAGGACTCCGACAGACAATCACACCAGCAGAATGTGCAGAAATGAATGTATATGTGTTTTTTTTTGGGTGTGCTGTATTTAATTGAATACAATTTTTAAATATTCTTAAGGCACCAGTCACAAGTATATCAAATATAGTATAGTATTTTTTGAAACACAGCTGCTGTCTTGCAGGAGATGTACTCAATCAAATGTCTACGGCAGAGCTGCTTCATAGACCGCTTCTGTGCATTTTGCCACTTGCTCTCAATATCGTTTAAGCACAGGCCCACACTAAAACCCGGGTGTCAATTTTCCCAACGAGTGGCATCGAGGTGTTTGTAGGACAAGTAAATGTTCCGACTTCTATGTCCTTCTTGCGTGTATTCTTGCCCGCGGCTTGCAGTTCATTTGATGAGACATGTAAAACGATTTAAGACGATACATGTGCATCAGCTGGCAGTCATTGCAAGTGCTGGCTCAGAGGTTCAATGTCGGACCATCGGCCTTGGACATGCGAAGAGAACGAGAGGCGCTTGAAGTTTGAGGATACTTCTCGGAGGGCTTCGTGGCCAAATGGAAAGCAAGGGCAGGGTTAAAAGGGTTGATTACGGGGCCGTTGGATTTCTTGAAGCGAGAAGAGGCCAATAGAGAGATATAGAGAGCATATGAATGTGGCATGCTTCGAGGTACGATCGGAGATAGAATCAGCGCTTGCAGAAGCTCTCTTCCGACGATGCACAGGATGTGGTGTACCAACTGAGCGCATCGATGCATGCTGCCACATGACTTGCGTTCATTGTGGAGCTGAGTTCAGCTGGGTGTGCGGTTTTGACTATCACCGATGCCGTGCCTCCCACCCCTGTTTGAACTCCGCAATCTACTTGCACTGCATGCCTCAATTGACTGCGATTTTGGACCAGCGCAACCTACCGCGCACTGACCAGAATGGAAGCGATCTCTTTCTCGACCCTTGCTGACCATGGGGTGAATCTGTGTCTTTGTGTGGTCGGTCCTTTTTTCTGCAAACACATTACTGGGTACCTGGGTTCGTTTGGGCCAGAGCAAGTAGAAAAGATTCGTCGAGTGTTTGTCAGCTTGCTGCATCTATGTTTGCAGGCAAATCTTCATGATAGTCCTACCCTTGAGTTCTGATTGGGTTTTCGTCCGCCAAAGGCTGCAAACTTCGGCATAGATCTAGTTATTTTTGTGCACGGGGGCAATGAATTCTTGATGTACATCAGTTTTGGCAAACATACTTCCGTAGAGCGTTTCCACGGTGTTTTAACATAATACATCATAATACTTAAAACCGGGGACTTTTAGCAAGCAGGGTGACTTTTGACTAATGCTGCGTTTCCCTGCGGCCGGGTGACTTTTTGCAAACCCCGGTGACCAAACCCCGACGCTTGTAGACCGGGATTTGAGATACTGTAATTTGAGGAATTGCGGTGCATCTACCTCCTCTCCATCGTCAAACGGACAGTTGGCGATGATGCTTGGAACTTTGCACGTGGGAGACCCAGCTCATCCATGTTCATCCTGATGTTTTGTTCGTTGTTTTGTTGCTTTTTCCTTTCGGAGGTGAGCAATTCCCAGAGCTTCTCAGCGATGTCATTCGTGGACACTGGAGCATACGGTGGGATGACGTGGGGGATGTTCAGCGTCTTACAAGACTCTTGCCAATGGCATTTCCAACCCTGCAAGACAGTCTCTGAGTCTTTGGTTTTCTGTGTCTTTCGTGGAGAAGACCATCGAGAACGCGACATGAACCGAGCTGAGAAGCGGTGGAAGCGGATGTAGCGCGGCCTACGGAGGGCCCAGCCTTTGCCGGTGCAGCGGGCGTTTCAGGGTTTGCAGATGGTGAAGATCGTGAACGTCATGACGTCGTGACCTGAGGTTGCACTGTGCCGTCACGGCGAGCCACAAAAACTGGGCCAAAAGGCTGGTTTATACATAGCCAATGGGTCGCCTTGGCCTCAGTTCGTGTCAGGCGAGTGCGTTTCAGGCTGCCTCTATACAAAGCTAGCAGGTGCCATGAACACTTCACAGGCACGCAACATCGCCAGCACTGCCCGCAGAAAAAAATGGAAGAGCTTGTGAACAAAGACTTGTTGAAGTCGGGACATCTGTGAGGCGGCAGGGAGCCATGAGAGGGAGAGAGAGATTGTTCAACAACCTGATGCTGCTATCAAGTTCCATTTGTAGCCAGGTGATGGATTTCCGCGGCTGTTCCCATATGAGTCCTCAACGCTTGTTCCACTCCAGTTGTTCGGCCTCCTCAGCACAAAAGTCGCTGCAACAGCTAAAAGAGGCTAAGTCTCAACCCTACGCTGCCAAAATTGGCAGTGTGTACTGGCACTGTATCGCCCGTTTCAGGCTTTGCAGAATGCCGAATTGATAGACCAAACTCAGACCTATGGAGTGGTGTTTAAAAAACACCGATTGCAGGCTGGTCGGTCGGACCACACAAAGTTGAGCAGTGGCGCTTTACGAGCCAGGAGTGGCACTTCACGAGCTCATATTGTGCAAACAGCTGGGTGTGGTTGCCATCAGTTGAGCTGTTGCGTCCCACACATGAGGCTCAAGCATGTTGGGCCAGACAGAGATATTGGCATGACATGAGAGAAATGCAGCAGCAGGACACCCCAACCCACCAAGGCAGACTGCCTTGAGATGTGTCAAATTATGTGCAGTACTAGATACCTGCCATCGTCTGATCACCATGCTCTCTTTCTTTCAATGAGAGAGTTGGATAGAAGCCCGAGCCTTGAACACACAGATGCGCAAGCTTCGTGATTTGACACCTCAGAGGCCCAGACAGATGCCCCTTGCCACCGAGGGCAAGTGTGTCAAGCGCTCAGAACTTTAAGACCTAGTCAAGCCAAGAAGGCCACCGAGAAGAAAAGAAAAACAAACATGTCTAAATTATTTGTTGGGTTGGGTCTTTTTTGAGAAAGTGCAAAAAAGGGACATATAGAGAGAGAGAGAGAGATACGGTTGCTTTGATGCCCAGGCAGCAGATGAACTGGGAGTCAATCGTCTTGCATTGATACTGGGTAGTTACTGTGAAGAAACACCAGCTTCAAGTTTCAAGTCCTTCGTCCCTGATCAGCCTAGGCTTCCGGCCGCGCCCCGCCTATCGAACTCGAAAGGCTCTCAGACCTCAGACGTCCCCAGGTTTTGTCAAATTCTTGCGCTCTAATGCTGCTGCATTTTCGCTTTTATACAACTTTTGGCTCCAGATCAAGGGAGCAGCAGGACATTGGCCAAATCATCAAAGTTTAACAATTGCCTAACTTCTGCACAATTCCACGCAAGCCCATCCACAGAGACAAGGACGACAAAGCTGCCCACAGAGCAAGGACGATTTTGGGTGTTCTGGAAGACCATATTGTATTGCCGTAAGCCGTAAGCCTACTGCTCTTTATATAAGGATCGTGTTGTGTTCAGGTTTGCTCACATGTGGAGAATTAGTATTGCAGCGCGTGCCCAAGAAAAACACCCATCGCCGTCATCATAGCTTTTGAATCTACCGCGAAAGGGGCATCCAAGACGAATGCTGGAGCAACCGTGACGAGTTTCACAAGCAAGACTTCATTGAGCCGGGATACGATGTGATACCCACAGCATGCCAACATCCGAGAGCATCAAGATTCTTCAGAATTCGCAACAATGGAGGTATATGCATGCCCTATCATGGCCTATATTATCTTGGAGCCAAACATAGATCAATCAAGCTTCTGCAGCTTTCTCCACTCATCCTGAGAGGGCCATGGTCAAGCTTCCACAGCTAAAGACCATGCAGGCACGACAGACTGACTTCAGCAGATGAACAGTCGAATTCATGCTTTAGGAGATGTTAGGAGGCATCCTAAAGTCGAGGGGCAGAACGTTTGCAGAGTCATTTCAGGCGCATTGCTGCGCTGTTCGTTTGTGCGCTCTGGTCTACTTTTTTGCGTTTCTGGGGAGTCTCACTTGACAATTTCAGGAAGGGAATGAGAACTGCAGCACCCTTATGGGTCCTTCTTTTTTTTTGGGGGGGTGTTTTGCCATCATGACATGTAGCATCATGATGCATCATGTAGCTAGCCGCTAGTGTCCGAATGGATCTGAGGAATGTGATTGATGGACCCATTATGTGGACCCTTTCGCCTCCACATGATTGGAGCGCAGCAGGGTTGGTGTCTTTGAACAAGCTGGCTTTGGCACCTGCAGCAGTTGCATTCTTCAGGCCGTTTGGATCCAAAGGTGGGCCTTCAGAGGCTCCAAAGCGGATTGCTTTGTTTCTGAACCTGTTCAGGCCCTGGTACTGGCCTTGCTTAGCCATTTGTTGGGTGCTATGGCATACGACGCACACGAATGGTGGTCACTGGTTCTTCTTTGGATGGGACGCGATGCTGGATGAAATTGGATGTCTAGCGAGCATTCTCTCCATCACTTTGACTCTTTACGACGACGTCCAGGCTGTTTTCAAACAATCGCAACCAAGAATGAGAAGTGGATTAAATCAGGTTTTCCCTCCTTGTAGATCACAACACTCGTAACACATTTGCACATCCGTGGTGCTGCTTTTTCAGGTGGAACCTGGCGTTGCTGAAATCAACTTGGACAGACAGGAAGAAGAGGCCTTGCTTGGTCTAAGGCTAAGATGTATTGTTCAGTTGTAGCATTGTAGAGTTGGCTTTCGTGCGCTTTCCCTCTTGTGGTGGGCACAGGAAGAGGAGGAACCAGCTCTGCCAGGTTCTGCTGAGGCATTGGAGGTTTTCACGCCAAATTTGATGACATTCTAGTCCTTCATACATGTTAAATCTATGACACCTGGGCAGCTCTACCGTTGCTGCGGGTGAAAATGATCTAGAATCTAGACCATTACAGAAAACGGCTTGAGCGCAAGAGATACACATACAAAATAAGATGGGGGGTACCTTCGACAGCTCGTCAATCTTTGCGTGTCGCACGTGAGGCATGTATGTGTTTTGAGCAATGAAGCCTCCTCATACTTTGACACTGTTCAGGGATTTGCGTCAGCTCTTCGATCTCGAAAGCGGGACAAGAAGCAGGTCAGAGGTTCAGCAGTGATGTCCTGGTGTTGTCCCTCTCTTTCTCTCTCTCTCTTTCTGTTTTGTTGTTTCCGTTTTTTCCCACCCTCTGCGGGTCATCAGCAAGTGTGAGCACCAGCGCATTCACAGACATTATGTGCAACATGTGGGGCAGGCGCCAAATGAGGGGACTTCCCCTTGCTATGCAGAAGAGGCCATGACGAGAACACCAAAGGCTGGGTCTTGCTGCTGCGCTTCATGTTTCCGCTTGGTAGGCGGAACGACCATCGCGTTCTGCATGGCAAATGCTTTGGATATCCTTTTCCCCAGAGAAGTGCACCTCAAGCTCACGACCATGCAGCCAAGCAGTGGATTTTCTTCCGAACTTTGTAGCCTTTTCATCCTTTTCCTTTCTCCCCATTTCTCCTCTTAATTTTCACAGTATGATCTGGGTCACCTCATGGATGTAGGCTTAGGGTCTCTAGGGCCTGAGCGGGGCTTGAAACCAAGATTGGAAGGACTTAGATAGATTCCGATAGAGGGTCAAGCTCTGTCTTCATCGAGCTATGTCTTCACGGACTCGTCAACATCTGAGGACTGGTGCCGTACTTTGGCGGAGCTCTCCTTGACACTTGCTGGTTTCAGACTTTTTCTTGCAGCCGGGCTTTTGAAAATGAGAGTGGGGAGTGCATGCTGGAAGAACTACACCTGCCTGTATGATCATTATGAGACTCAGCCTATGCCAAATTTTGCGGCTTGGATGTTCCACAATTACACCCCTCATGCCATGCTTTCAGTCATGCAATGGTTTGCGATTGATGTCTCTGAATGTATTGTCCCCTACTTTTTGCTGAGCTTTGTTCTCAGCATGGGGCCGGTTGGGGTTCTACAGCGGCAAGTGCTAAGAGACGGATTCGCACAGCGGATTCTTCAGATCCCGGGTCGCCTGATTGCCTCGGTCCTCATCATGATCTTTGTGTTCGGCATGTTCATTGGTGGCAACTATGCGTTTCTACATCCTTTGGCAGTTGTCTCCTTAGTGGCCTCAGTTGGTACAGTTCATGGGCGTCCCGTGATCCGCAAACCTGAATCAGCACCAAAGATTCTCTATCGGGCTCTCATGCCATGGGTGGTGCTACTGGTGCTGCTCTTTGCATTTCTGCCAAGTCTTCGGGCTTATGCGACTGGGCCTTATGTTATTTTGCAAGCCATTTTTCCCCAAACAGTGTGGACACACTAGGGGTTCTTACGGTAGGTGAAAAGCAGGTGTGCTTAGGTGTGCCGCGCGGGCGTGTCCGGCTAATTCGCTGCTATTTACAGTACATTCATGCCTCTCGAAATCGTCGACATGCATTCCGACTGCGCAGGCTCGCTGAATCTGGGTGTCTGCAGCGGGTTCTGGTGGTGATCGTCGAGGAGCTCAGATTTCGTGACAGGCGCAGTGAATCGTGACTTTTGGACATGTGGCTCGTTTGCAGATTTCGTGGCAGGCACAGCACTCTGTGACCCTCGATGTGCGGATTTCGTGGCAGGTGCAGCAATTTGTGAACCTTGAAGTGCACATTTCGTGGCAGGTTCGGCACTTTGTGAACCTCCAAGCCTCCAAGTGCAGGTTTTCGTGGCAGGCGCAGCACTTGGTGAACCTCGAAGTGCAGATTTCGTGGCAGGCACAGCACTTGGTGAACCTCGAAGTGCAGATTTCGTGGCAGGTACAGCACTTGGTGAACTTCGAAGACTTTGTGAACCTCAATGTGCAGATTTCGTGGCGGGCGCAGCACTTTGGGCTCTCAGATGCCCACCTCTCGCTCTCACTCACACTCTCACACACGCTCACACTCACACTCACACTCTTTCACTCACAGTCACTCTTCACTCACACTCACATTCACATTCACTCATCCACGCTCACGTCACATTGACACTCACACTCACTCTCCCTCACACTCACTCTCCTCCACACTCACTCACACTCACGCTCACGCTCACACGCTCACTCCCTCACTCACTCACTCACTCACTCACTCACTCTCCCACTCACTCACTCTCACTCACTCTCACTCACTCTCACTCACTCTCACTCAC